AAGCTCGCCAGCACCAGTTAGTTTGAACAACGTCTTCGGTCCACCACTTGTCAAACCGACCGCAGGTGACCTTCACCAAGACGGTACGAAAGCTGTGAGAAGGAAGCCTCTGCCTTCTCAGCAGCCGAGAGAGTTTGACGCTACCAGTCCCGCAGGGGAGCCCAGTTACGATGACCTGCGCCATACAGTGGACGAAGAAGCCCTGAACCGAGTCGGCTCCCGTCAGCTGTCATTCCCTTCGCCCGTCAAAGAACGCCAACCAGATGATGAGAGCCTCTACGATGACGCTTCCACAACGTCCCCTGACTATGCCAGTACGCACGAGTCGGTATATAGCAAAAAGTCCGTCAAGTCTGTTTCAAAGCCCAGAATGGGGGTCATGAAGACCGTGGGAACAGAGCCCAAGAAGGATCTTGTCATTGGGGACGCCCGTTATACGCTGGATGAGCCGTCGCGAATCGATCCGGACATTCCAACGGTAGATTTCGGGCCAACACTCACCTACCTGCCCACCACTGGACGTCCGAGCACATCGGACACTCTGAAGAAGTTTACGCATCATAGGACCGGTTCGGATGCCACGGAAAAACAGCGCTATGCGGTGCCGACACATCCCATGGACCGCGCTCATTCCAAGTCTCCCAGTCAGGACGAACACCGGCGGAGTATTCTATGGCAGCCGGGCATGGCACGTCCAACAACCCCTGGTGGCGGTCTTACTCCAGAACAATTCGTGCAGCAACGAGCTGCCCCTAGCCCACCAATCCATCTACACCACCACCGGCCAACTTCTACGACTCCTCCACCTCGGAGACCGCTTTCGGGAGACTGGATGGCTCATACTCGCTCCAAGTCTCAGATGACTATTCCCAGAGATCCCCAACCTCGGCCCCATTCACGTGGCGCTAGTAGCATGATGAACTACAACGACATTTCATCCCACCTCTCGGCTCGGGAGCAGGAGCACGTGGCTCGTATGACAGGATCTTCCTTCTTTGATATCTCTAACGACAAGAGCAAACAGGCACCTCCCGTTGACCCAATGGGCCTTGTTGGTGCGATTGATGCTCGAGAGCGTGAGAAGAGGGGTATCAAAGAAGGAATGTCGAATCAGCTGGTGCAGCACGCAATTGCCCAGCGGCAACAGCACTGGCAGCACCACCAACAACAGCAACTTGCCACAACACCTCCTCATAATTATGGGCTACAAACTGGCCTTCAGAGCAGTGTGTACAACCTTCCGGCGGCCAGTCACACTTGGGATGCGCTCAATCAATCTTATCGTGCTGATGAGCCTCGCCGTCAGTCTTGGTATGGGCCATTTGCGTCTCAGGCACCCCAAACACCGCCAATGTATCCACAAAGCCAGCCTCTGAACCAGCAAGCTGGCTACTTTGGGAGTGCCAACCCTTCGCATTATTAGTTTCTTTCGTCCCTGATACACTTTGACCCTTCGTCCCTTCATTAGATCCCTTCTCTCTTATCCTCTTCTCCCAAGTCGCTCTGTTCCTTTTGTCGTCTTATACCAGCGTCTGCGCTCTTTTTCAGATGTTATGCCTTTTTCCTGCTTTTGCAAATGTGCCTCAAAGGGCTTGCATCTATGCCAACTTTCTTGACGCTCCCTAGAACTAGACTGTCTAGATTCCTACGCAGGATTTCCCTTGCTGATTTTCCTCGCATTTACTTTACTACAGCAATTGCTCCGTCGCATTACGCATTGAATGGAGTTGTGAGAGCAGGTCTGGCGTCTTCGGTACTGCTTCAGTTGCCCGTCATTCTTCCGTGTCTTTTTACGCCGTTGCGGCGGTGGACTGGCTTTGACTCATTGGGAAAGAATCATTCTATCGTACGTGTGTCTTTGGCTTACTGTGCTGGTTTCGTGTACATAGGACGCATTACATACAACTGGGCAGGATACAGGCCTGGCTTTATCACCTTCAATCTTCTCATAACTCAGATTTTGTGATCTTTACTCCTTTATTCTTGCTACTAAAATGGGTCCATGTGCAGCCTTCCTGGGTACATCGATTTGGTCACAGCACAAGGGGAAGCTCATAAAGAGAGTTAAACCAATATTTATCTGATTTGCTATGTATGCTCTGTCAAATTCGACACTGCTCCCTGCGAGTATAAAAAAACGATAATGCAATGCTGGAGAGTCCCGAAACGCCTTGGCTACCAGTAATCCCAATCACTTCTCGACAAGACAACCCCCCCGTATCAACCACGTTCAAATCAAATTTCAGTTTCGTATGGAAGTGATACATCTTGGATTTTTCTTTTTCTTTTTTTTTTTTTCTCCGGACAATATGAACGACACTCAGCTCGAATGCAGCTTCTTCACTCTCAGGGCACCCTCGTACAACCCACGGTCAATGGCCGCGGCAACGGTCAAAGTACCACCGATGATGGCACAGACGCCCGTCAGGAAACCCGAAAAGCTCTTGGGGCGGGCCTCGCGGTTGATGACCTTCATCGGCGAGATGTCGTAGTTGAAGAAGACACCGGGAATGCCGTTCGCGGCGTGCAGACGTTCCTTGTGCCCTTCGTCTGAGGCGTCGCCGCCGCGCAGGGACCGCTTGTGCGAGGTCACGGAGTACTGGTGCGTTTCGATGCTGCCGCCGGCGCCGTACGAGATGCCGTGGGAGCCCAGGGGGGTCTGGTCGTGCGCGTTGTGAACGGCGGACGAGAAGAGTGGGTCCCAGCCAAGGGGCAGGTAGGACGTTGAGACGACCTTGACGAAGTAGACGAAGTTGTAGGCCGGGTCGTTTATCTCCTGGCTCGTGCCGTCGAGCGGGTTGGTGTGGTGGTGGTCTGTCCACTGCCAGCGGTCGGAGACCTCGTCGGGGAGCTGGGGGCCGAAACGCAGCTGGTGGATGTGGTGGGTCATGGTGTGTTTTTCGTTGTCCGGGAGCTCGAGGTCGAGGTAGTTTTGCAGGTCGTGCACGTGGACCTGGCCGCTGGTGAAGCTGCGGCCGGGGGCGATGTGGAAGTTGCCGACGACCTTGTTGACGCGCAGGATGCCCTCGAGGCGGCAGCCTTCGCGGCGTTGGGCGTCAATGCGGGCGGCGTAGCCCTCCCGTTCGCATTGCTCGATGTTGGAGCCCTTGCCAAAGGCCCAGTTCTTGGCTGCGTAGGCTTCGCGCACTTCGTCGCAGGTGTTGCAGCAGCCTTCTTTGATGGAGTTGGGGAGAGGGTCGGCGCCGCCGCAGTCGCCGCAGTAGTCCGGGTCAAGGTGTTTGGCGACTTCCTCTTTAGAGTGGCTGACGGACGAAACGCATTCGTTAGCAATTGGTGACAATGGTGAAAGAAAATTGGCCGCTTACAGGTCCAGAGCTTGAACATCCAGCACACGGCCTCCCTCGGCAGGCGAACTCAGGCGCACCTTGTTAACGCCATGTGCTACGCCAACTTGCTGTTCGCCCGAAACATCCATCACATCAAGGGTTAAAAGCTCGCATGGTAGTCGAGGAAAGGTGATGTTCATGTGGATCTCCATTCGCTCGCCTGTCCAATGCCACCGTTTGCATCAGTCTTTATTTCCACGGATGTCCTTCGTTCTTCGTAGGTCCATACCTCTCGACTTGTCAACAACCAATTCTGGAAGGACAACCACTCGTCTATAATCCAGCCATTCTCCCCAAACCAGGTACAGTATGACTATCAACGAGCCCAGAGTGATGATACCTCCAGAGGTGGTACGGATGCGAGCATCCTCGACTGTTTTGGCGAAAGCATCAAGCCTCGTAAATCGCGACTTGGCAGGCATCTCTTCAAGAAGCGACGATCATAAGGTCGAAATAGTAGACGGCGTTGAGCAGCAGCTCGACGAATTGATCAGCAACGGTAGCGCGCCCGCACGGAAGGGAATCTATAGCGGAGGTATCCAATGTCAATGAAGCTCAATTGGTAAACAGTTTGGGACTCGCGGCATGTAAATAAAACGCATCGACGCAACTTACAGGTCAGTAAGGTCACTCGGCGAAACAATCCTCAGCAATAACAGGATTGAGCGTCGGGGAATTTCTCCTCATCAAGTCTGGCTTTGGGAACAAGCTGTCCTGATGAATCCCAAAACGAGCTAAGCATCGGCTTTACTCTAGGTAGTCGACGCTAAGAAGTGATGGAGACTTGGGGGTACAGCGCGTATCAGGTACCACTGATAAGCCACGCAATCTGGCTGCATCGGTATTGGTATTTCAAAAAGGACAGAGAGCAGTTGCTGATTGGCGCATGGAGCCCACTAAATCTCTCTCTCACGTACGGAAATTTGATACTCAAAAGATCGCCCCTTTGATGGTATGTTGCACTATAGAATCTGGAGAAATCAATTATCACTTGATTGTCTCGATGTCAGGGTAAAAGATTATTAAGGTAAAAAAAATAAAAATAAAAAAACACAAAAAATTGCCTCCGGGGAGGATCGAACTCCCGACCTTGAGATGTCCCAGAAGTACTCTTCTGAGTCATATGTGAGATATGAGACTCACGTGATAACCAACTACACCACAGAGGCAATTGTTGGGTGAGAGGGCTGGAAATTAAACCTATGAGCAACCTGACAGGTTGCTGCCCATCGCAGCTTATATGGGTCTAGCTGCCCTCAGGCATCAACAACACCCCAGAGCAAGAAGTCCGCCCACGTGACCAGGCTGGAGCCTGCCGGAATGCTTTTGATTCACGTCACTTTTTTGTTCTTCCTACTTTTTGTCCGACAGCCTCAAATCTCAGCTAGAGGTTCACATCGCCTCGTTCCTCTCTCGAAAACATACGACTCCATCAGCTCATCTCCTTTGAATCCCCATACTTGGAAATCCTCACCTTCTTTTTCTCCGCACTCACGTATTTCCTTCGTTACATGTCGAATATTTAAGTGGGACTCGGTTCCTTCGAGGCGCACCGCGCATTTTCGCCTCTTAATACCCTACAGTCCTTCCAACGTCCACTTTCAGCCCATTCCACTCTCCTTCAGCTCCGACTTGCCTTGACACCAAAACGACATGAAAGGAAAGGGCTCTCGAGCTCGCTCCGGCGCCTCGGATCGCGGAAGTATTCGCAAGCGGGGTTCGACACGAATTGACCGAGATGGCGACCTTTCTATGGATGGGTCCGCCGCTCGCGGGCGTGGAAAGAGGGCGCGCGGCGACACGGGTCGTGCGGCTCCGGCTGGTGGACGGCCTCCGGCTCGGGACAGGACTTTAAATGCGATTCAGAAAGCGATCGCCAGTAATGCGGACTCGCAAGCGAATATTCGGCAGGGAACTCGAGGAGCGGGCTTGGACCAGGTCAGCGTCCGTGGCTGGAAACAGAGCAAGGCGGCTTCCAACCGTGATGGAGGCCTTGAGAGTCTCATCGCTTTCCTCGAGAAAAAACTCACTGCACCCGATTCGAAAGCTGGCGCCCGCGCAAGAATAACAAAGGTATGTGCAACACCAGAATTGGCGGTCACCGACAGCAAAAACGCGCAGCGGTCGTACTCTCCGGTCTGTTCTCGTCTTCTCCAGGCATGGTATTTCAGAACGACGATCGGCAACGTCTAGGGTCTTTTTTTTCTTGAGCGTTTGTTTGTTTGGGTGACTGCGGTTTCAAGGTCTCTTAAGCCTTGCTAACTTTCACTAGTCGCGAGTTGAAGGCGACACTGTAATAGTGGCTATCCGACCCGAATTGTTGGGTAGAATGCTTCAGATGAATGGTTTTAGTTTTGCGGGTGCGCCTCTTACGATCGAAGCGTGCGGGCCGTCCGCGAGTGGAATGACCGATCAACCGATGCTCTCGGATATCGCGCAAAATGGCGGTGCTCCCTCGACCGCCGATACCAAGAGCAAGATGACTGCGATTTTGAGCAAGCGATATTATCAACAGACAAAGTTGCTTGACCTTTCCAAGCTCGGCAGCGACCCTGATCTTTTGGCCATGGGCATCTTCAATAGCACATCCACCGAGTCCAAGTTCTTCCCTGCCCTGATGAAAGTCTGGGAGATGAGCTTCGACAATTCTACAACAAGACGTGAGGCTGTTGAGAGTGTCAGTCTTGCAGACAACCAACTCGCAAATATCACAGTCGTTACAAGTCTAGCCCAAGCGATCCCCGATTTGAAAAACCTGGACCTCTCGAACAATAACTTCAAAGACGCGCAGTCCTTGATCGGTTGGCGGTGGAAATTCCGCAACCTTGAATTCCTCGACCTTACTGGTACTCCTTTTAGCGCCGATCCTACCTTCAAGGAGACAATGATGAAGTGGTACCCGAAGTTACGAGTATTAAACAATGTTGAAGTTCGGACAACGGCGGAGATCGCTGCCCAGAAGAAAACACCTATTCCTGTCCAGCCACCTCACTTCTTGGATGAATCGCACATCGCGGAAACCTTTGTCCGGGCATTCTTCGTTGGTTATGACAATGACCGCAACGACCTTCTCAACGGCGTTTACGACAATCACTCGACTTTCTCCTTAAACGTTAACACATCCGCGCCAAGGGCTCAACAAACCGAGACCGCTGGCTGGGATCCTTACATCAAAAAGAGCAGAAACTTACTCAAGATCAACCACCTTCCAGCTAGAATGTCTCGCGCCTATATCGGCGTGGAGAAGATTCGCGAAGTCTGGAATAGTCTGCCCAAAACCAAACACCCTGAGGTGGCAGCTCATCCCAACGAATGGCTCATCGAATGCTTCCCCGTGCCGGGACTTCCAGATCCGTCCGGGCAGAGCAGCACTGGAGTGGGCGGTCTCCTGATCATGGTTCATGGAAAATTTGAGGAGCTTAGTGATGGAAAAGTCGAGGTGCGCAGTTTTGATAGGACATTTATCCTTGGTCCTGGTGGAGGAGTTGGCGGTATCAGAGTGATCAGTGACGTTCTTTGTCTGAGAGCATATGGGGGACATGAGGCATGGGTTCCTGAAACGCCAACGGCCCCTCCGTCGGTTCAGCCAGCAATTCAGCCAGCAGCTCCCCAGGCAGTCCCGGAAGGCTATGGTATGCCGTTGCCCGGAAAGGCCGAGGCGCAGGTCCAGCAAGAGCAGCTGGTGATGCAGATGAGCACGAAGACGAACATGACTTTGCAGTATTCCGAGATGGCGCTATCAGGAAATGGCTGGAACATGGAGGCTGCTCTGACGAACTTTGAACAACTCAAGGTAAGCTTACCCGGGCTCGTCCGTCTCGATGATACATTATAACTAACTGCGTTGGCATCTGCAGGCACAAGGAACATTACCTCCAGAGGCTTTCCTTCCCGGAACTGTCTAACACTTAAGACGGTCACCATCTCAACGTTCTTGATCGGCCTCTTCATTATCACTTCACGCACCACAGAAAGAAACAATGGCGGTAACACGGGGTACAAATTCTATTCATACCATATGGGTGGTTAGCTTTTCTGCATGGCTTTGGCGAATGGTTGGCTTCATAATAGCCATTTGGGTTTTATTATCTTGCTTTATTGTTGTTTTGAAAAGAGCGTTATCCATCGGGGTGCTACGATATCATGTCCGCATAGAAGAGAAAATATACATCGGCCGCTGTCTGCTGCGGTATTCACACTACAGCAACAATTTCCTTTTGAGGTAGATGGGTATCTTAAGTATGATGATGACTTTTGATACGGACTTTGAGCTTCGAAAGTCACTGCTATTATATGGCGCAAGGCCTGGTTGTAGATTGTAAATGCTTGGAATCAATAATGTTGAGTGCCTGAACGCCAAGGCATACGCTAAGCTGCTCCGCGCCGATATTGATTTATCGACAGCTTTCCGCAGCCAATGCACAAAGAGCCCTTCAGATAATCTCGCTCTCAAGTTCCCCTTTGATCTCTTGTTGTCTCCCTTGGGCCAATTGGCAGATGGTCACTTGTCGCAACTGCAGCATGTGCCCTGCTTTTACTACCCTTAAGAGCTAATGGAATGTCCGTCTCGACTCCCACCTCCTCTACCGGCCATATGCCACCCAACGGCGCGGCGGACCTCGATCCATTGGATGCAGGTGAGCACAACAATCTGATTTAATTCCAGTCAAACGGTCTCGCTAATAACCCGGCATGAAATAGCTGATTACGACCCGATCGACCACTTGAACGCGATTTTCTCCCACCCCTCAACCCTCTCCTCCGTGTCCGAGGTGTCTCAATCCCTCCGTGAATATGAAGACGAGCTCGACCATGACATTGCCACGCTGGTTGAGGAGCAGGTCACCTCCAATGCCGAGAGCGTGGAGCGCATTCAGGCAGCCAAGGCCGATCTGACGGAGCTGTTCAAGAAGATCGACGATGTGCGCGACCGCGCATCCAGGACGGAACAAGCGATTACGGAGATGACGGCGGACATCAAGCAGCTGGACAATGCGAAGAAGAATCTGACGCAGTCCATGACCGCACTCAAGAGACTGCAGATGCTGACGACGGCGTACGACCAGCTCCGTGCCCTGAGCAAGTCGAGGCAGTACCGCGACTGCGCCCAGCTGCTGCAGGTGGTGATTCAGCTGATGGCGCACTTCAAGTCATACCGATCGATTGACCAAATTGCGCTCCTGAGTAGGAACGTGGCCGATATTCAGCGGGAATTGCTGGAACAGGTCTGTGAGGACTTTGAGCTGGCGTTTGCCAAAGGGGAAGTTGCTCAGAATCGAATCACGCTGTCGGAGGGCTGTCAGGTCATGGATGCCTTGGGGGAGAGCGCGAGATCCAGGCTGGTGACCTGGTATTGCAATTTCCAGTTGCGGGAATATCGGCAGGTCTTCCGGAACAACGAAGAGGCGGGCTCGTTGGACAATATCTCCCGGAGGTATTCGTGGTTCCGGCGCATTCTGAAGATCTACGACGAGGAGTATGCGGCGATCTTCCCGGCGTCTTGGAGGGTCAATGAGATTCTCACGAATGTCTTCTGCGAGGGGACCCGCGAGGATTTCAAGGGGATATTGTCCCGGTCTGTTCGGAGCGGTCAAACGATCGATGTTAATTTGCTACTCTCTTGTCTTGAGGAGACCCTGGACTTTGAGCATTCCCTCGAGCGTCGTTTTGCCAGCCCAGCCCGGTCCTCCACTGACACCTTTGCCTCAACCGAGACTCCTGTCTTCGGCCAGGCTATTTCGGAGGCATTCGAACCATACCTGAGCATATGGGTGGAAGCTCAAGACAAGCAGCTGGCTGCGCTTATACCCAAGTATCGGCAACAACCCATTAGGCCACCGGATGAGGAATTCGATTCCCACATCGTAATATCCTCATCTACAGAACTCTTTACTTTCTACAGACACTCCTTGCAGCAATGTGCGAAACTCTCCACCGGCGGAAGCCTTGCTGACCTGGCCAAGGTCTTTGCCAAGTATCTGGACCAGTATGCGCAGCAAGTCCTTTTGAATTATATCAGTGAACGGCCGACAGGACATACACCGTCGAATGTGCCAGCCTTGGAAGACCTCATCTTGGTCCTCAATACAGCCGATTACTGCTACACCACTTGCAACCAGCTGGAAGAGAAGATCAAAGGCAGGCTCGACAAGAACCTCAAACAAAGTGTGGACCTGCAAAGTCAAGCAGACTCTTTCATGGGTATTGCATCTGCCGCAATTAGGGGTCTCGTTCGGAAAGTCGAGATCAACCTAGAACCCTCCTGGCGCGAAATGCGCAATACGCCCTGGAGTCGGCTCGAGGCCGTCAGTGACCAAAGCTCTTATGTTGGGGAGCTTATGTCCAAGATCCAGGCCACGTTCTCGGAAATTTTGCAGTTCTTGCATAAGCAGCAGTATGCTAGAGCTTTCGCCGACCATGTTGTAGAACTCGTGTCGACCCAGTTCATCTCGAATATATTCCAATGCAAACCTATTACGGAGACTGGCGCGGAGCAGGTATGTACTACGCCTCTAACCTCGTGAAATGTCGTCGATTGAAAGCTAATGTATATCAGATGCTTCTGGACACATACACACTCAAAACCGGCCTTTCCTCCCTCCTCCCCGCACCAGCCCCAGCAAGTTTCGTAAAGCGCGTCAACGCCAGCTTCTCAAAGATCGAAACCCTCCTCAAAACCCTGCAAGTGCAGCCCTCGCCCCCCGAAGCCCTCGTCCAAGCCTACCTCATCCACATTGCGGACCGCAACAATGCAAACTTCCGCAAGATCCTCGACCTCAAGGGCATCCGCAGTCGCCAGGAGCAGAACCACCTCGTGGAACTGTTCCAGATCCATCGCACCTCCGATCGCTACGCCTCGAATCTCCAGCAGAGCAACCCCGTCCTGGCAGCCATGCAGACCACTCCTGCCCCCTCGTCGAGTTCCGTCTCCCAGGGGCTCGGACTAGGAGCTGCCGCGTCCATTGGCGCCTCGAATCTCCCTACTCGCTTTGACCCGTCCATGCTCGGGTCCGCCCTCATCTCAGCGGCCAAGGACGGCGTCGACCGATTTGGCACGCCGATGAGTTCGTCCAGCGCGACTAATCCTAGTGGCAACAGCGGCGTGGTATCCACCCCTACGCCTTCAGGAACGACAGGGCAGGGGCAGGGTCAAGGCGGGGACATGAGCTCAAATCTGAACGAGAATTTGAAGAATATTGGGAAATTCTTTAGAAGAGATCTGGGAGGGTTCGGTGGGAGATTTGGCGGTAGTTGAGGATGGTTGTGGTTGTTTGTTGATACCAGAAGACTATATATCTGCAGGGAGAAATGTAATTTTTACACATCACAAAGCAGTTCAATACCAGAAATGTGGACAAATAATATTCATTCATAAAGGACTACCTGCTATAGCAAAGTTTTACTTAGGTGGTGAGATCCTACAGGCGCAATCAATGCACGCAGATAGTTCTTACTGTTGATTGATTCTACGGAAGCTGCGTCAAAAATTTCCTGTGTATCCTGTTATCACAATTAGCATCCAGTCATGAATAGGCGAGTGCATGTGATGGCAAAGAGGCAAAGGAGAGAAATAGGCGTCATCAAAAAATTAGAGTGTTTGTTGTTGCATTGTTTTTGATCTTCAAGGCACCCTCCAGGGGCTCCGAGTTAAAAAATATAATCATCCGCCAGGATAGGGAATGTGCAGGTGTAGGGAAGAGAGAGAAAACCAAGGGGGAATGCTGGCTTACCTGCTACTCATCGAAAGATGGTGGAGCGTGTCTACGTCCACATCTAGATGAGAATGGAAAGTTCACAAAATCCATGATAGTCATTTTTTCATTAGTCCGACCGTCATGATCGGACATGGAATGGTCTAATACATGGCAACCGTAACTCGCGCAGGGATTTTGCAACGAGTTTAGTCGAAGAGGCCGAAGCCCATGTCCTCGTCGGAGGCCTCCTCCTCCTCTTCCTTCTTCTCCTCAGCAGCGGGAGCGGCACCACCGGCAGCAGGGGCGGCGGCGGCAGGAGCAGCGGCAGCGTAAGCGTCAGGGTTGGCGATACGGTCCTTGAGCTCCTCAATCTCGGGCCAGCTGTAGTCGGTCTCGATGGCGACAGCGAGAGCCTTCTTGTAGCCGTTGACGAGAGAGTGCATGACGGAGGGCAGAGTGGGGTAGTTGAGGGCCAGGGAGACCGTGGTGATGGTCTTGATGGCGCTGCTGAAGGCATCGAGGAGCTGAGACTCCTCAATGTCCAGAACATCGGCGGGGAAGCACTGGCCGTTGTCGTACACCTGGGCGATGGTCATGCCGTAGGTGAAGGGGGAGATGTTCAGCATGTTCAGCAGGGTGGCCTCAGAGGGACCGACCTTGGAGCCAGCCTCAACGAGCTTCAGATCGGTGGTAATTTCGATGGTACCACGAGCAATCTTGGTGGGGACACCGAGAGCCTGGAAGAAAGAAGTCTTACCGGGTTCCATACCGGTGTTACCAGCGGGAATCCAGACGTCGGCGGGAGCGACGGCACCAGCACGAGCAGGAGCAGCGACACGGTTGGCCAGGATCTTGGTCTTGACATCCTTCAGTTCACCGTTGGTGAAGATGAAACCAACGTTGCCTATCATACAGAAATTAGCCACCAATTCCAAATCCCGTTGTTTCCCGTCCCACACGGGTAAGGGTATCCTACTCACCCTTGACGTGAGGAAGCAGACGCTCGTACTCCGGGTTGTCGGTGACGAAGCCCTTGATGGCACGGCGAACCTGGATTTCTTAGTCAATGGCTGCGGAAACTGTAAAATCAGGACGATTAAACAAACCATAGTGTTCTTACCCATCAGGACGACGGCCTGACCACGGAGAGCCACACGGATCTCGTGCATCTGCTGAGAGCTGACATTGTCGACACCGACAATGAAGACGGTGTTGTACTCATCGAGAAGGCTCTTGAGCTTATCAAAGTAAGCGGCCTTGGTAGCAGACTTGCCCCCCATGTCTTCTTAATTCACTGAAGATAGGTTATTTAAGGGCAAGGAGGAATTTCGTGAAGTTTGATGTTGTCCGATATGAATCGTGACGTTGAAAGTTCATTAAGAGAAATTCCGCTGGCGGTCATTTTGGGGAAATTCTTCGTGTGGATTCGCGAAGCGAGCCTGTCACGTGAGCTCCTCCCGCCGCAATGCAAAAATGCCCCATGCAGCGTTAGGGCCGGAGTCAGTGTATAGCCGTGTAGTTGTGACGAATCGACGACTTATACAAGTCTCGTTGGGGATTGATCGCTCGCACTCACTTGTTTTCGGATTTTTGGTCGTTGTGCTTGAGCAATCATCTAGTCAAATCTACAAAATATTTGGGTGTATTATCGCACGACCTGTACCTCTCAATATGGTGGTCAACTACCAACATCCGATTCAATGCATCAGATATGTAGAGAGGCAAACACCTGGTTTCCGCAGTCTGTTTGTCGCTTCTGCTGGCTCGAAAATATACACATACGCTGCTGAGACCGGAAAACAGCTTGCTACCTGGCCTGAGGCTGCCAATGCTGCAGATACTACAGTAGTCAGTGTAGCACCAAGCTCTGAAGGGGACGAGCCATCAGCTAAAAAGAGAAAGGTGTCTCCAGTCCCGGAGCAGATAGCGAAAGGAGGGCAATCGGAAACCTCAGCCGCTTGGTCAACGATCCCCATCTTGGCGGTGTCATCTGACGGCAACTATGTGGTTGCCGTCACTGGTGAAGACAAGTGTCTTCGTGTCTTTGAGATAGAAGAGAGTGGCAATCTCAAGCAATTGAGCGAGAGGTACGTCCGTTATCAATTTCTTTATAATATATAAGCAAAATGCTTACCTTCTGGTAGACTTATGCCCAAGCGGCCATCTGCGATCGCCTTGGTTGAGGATGATAAAACCATCCTGTGCGGGGATAAGTTCGGGGATGTTTATTCTTTACCACTGATCGATACTGGAAAATCAAGTATTGCGCCCAAAGTCCATGGCAAAATCAAGCCGATTCAGCCAGCAGCAACGACTTTGACTGTTCACAGTAAGCGAAACCTGACATCGCTGGAACAGCAGTTGCGACATTATGGCCAGAAAGAGCAGACCGTAGAAGAAAAGCCTACGTCTGCCTTTGAACTTCATTTGATCCTTGGGCATGTGTCGATGCTCACAGACTTAGCCTACGTATCCATCCCATTGGATGCAACTTCGGGTCGAAAGCGATCATACATCTTGACTGCAGACCGCGATGAACATATTCGGGTTTCTCGCGGGCCTCCTCAAGCGCATATTATTGAGAGCTACTGTCTGGGGCACACCTCGCTCGTTAGTAGCTTGTGCGTTCCCCAATGGGCACCGGAATACCTCGTTTCAGGCGGAGGTGATGATCACTTGATTGTATGGAGATGGAATGAGGGCCGTCTCGTACACAAGGCCCCCTTGGTTGAAGAAGGCACAGACTCTGATATTTTTGTTCGTCGTATCTGGGCGCTGTCACTTACCAAGCCCGCAAACTCTCAGGACAATGCGAATGTCATCCTCGTTGCATTAGATGGGTAAGTTCATTCATACGAAATACTTCATGAATGAGACTCATGATCCATTCCAGGTCCTCAAAGCTTCTTTGCTTTACGCTTGAGTCCGATGGCTTGCTGAAAGCACAGAACTCCATCCAGGCATCTGGCAACGTACTTGACCTAACAGTTCCCGCCGAGGGCAGCTCGATTGTAGTATCCGTCGACGCAGTGCGGGAGGCTGGGTCCACGCAAGAATGGAGAACTACTGCCCCCTCACCGTCGACCCTGGTTGAGGCGTTCCGCTTGAAGCCAGCGTCGGAGGGTCTTGATTGGGAGCCCACATCAGACGCGATCACTGCACAGATAAATTCCGAAGGTACCTCCGAGATATCAGCAGACCTCGAAGAGAAGCAGAAGAAGGAGTTGAACGATTCGTTGTATAATTTGGGCAACCTGCGGAAAAAGAACTTTGGTGAAGACGACTGATGTTGAAGATAAAATGTACAATATCTTAATTAGCATAGAATCTTGCATAAATACTGAGTTGTCTCAGCATGCTTTCATGCTTTCTTTTCGTAGGACAAGTGTTGTGAGCCCATCTGATACTCCGATTTAAATACACTCTCGGAGATCGATTGATCGCTCGCTGGGCCCGCACCCTGCAACCCGAGGTGAATGTCACCCCGCCTCAGACCATTTTTTATTTTACAATATAACTCCCACTCATATTCAGAATGCAAGAGAAATTTGAGCCTTTGAAGAACGATCTTTTGCTCAGAGCCGCCAGAGGTATAAGGTGACTCGAGATTCCGCGCGCAGACAATTGAAGGAACTGATGTGATCTTTAGGCGAGCGAGTTCCGCGTCCGCCAATATGGGTTATGCGACAAGGTATGTTCCTGAACGAATATCCTACTTTCTATCATTGAAGCCTATCATTACATTACTCCTTGCTGTCTCTGGTACTAAGCAATCAATACTCTAGCTGGCCGCTACCTCCCCGAATACCATGAAGCGAAAGGAAACCGCGATTTTTTCGAATGCTGCCGGAACCCGGAGATTGCATCCACCCTGACCATCCAGCCCGTGGATCGGTATGACGGATTGATCGATGCTGCGATCATCTTCTCGGATATCCTTGTCATCCCCCAGGCGATGGGCATGCAGGTTGAAATGGTGGACAAGAAGGGGCCACACTTCCCTGAACCTCTGAAGTCGCCGGACGACGGACAATACGAGAAGGTTATGCAGAAAGAGGTCAACGTGAAGGAGGAGCTAGACTACGTGTACAAGGCCATCACGCTTACCCGGCACAAATTGAAAGGCCGCGTGCCTCTGATTGGCTTCTGCGGTGCCCCATGGACTCTACTCTGCTACATGGTTGAAGGAGGCGGGACCAAGCTGTTTGTGCACTCCAAGACGTGGATCTACAAGTATGCGAAGGAGTCGCAGGCACTGCTGCAGAAGATCGCCGAGATCTGCGTTGAATATCTGGCTCTCCAGGTCGCCTCCGGGGCGCAGCTCGTCCAGGTGTTTGACTCGTGGGCCGGAGAAATGTCCCCTGCGGCTTTCAAAACCTTCTCGCTCCCGTATCTGCGGTACATTTCTGCCAACCTGCCCAAGAAGCTGGACGAAATGGGCCTGGAACGTGTGCCAATGACCGTCTTTGCCAAGGGGGCTTGGTACGCTCTCGAGGATCTCTGCGAATCGGGCTATAATGTTGTCGGTCTTGACTGGTTGCACGATCCTGCTGAGGCGATGCAGATTGCCAAGGGCCGCGTAACGATCCAGGGCAATGCCGACCCCGGCGTACTTTACGGTAGTCGCGAAGCTATCACCGAAGCCGTGGAGGTTATGGTCAAGGGCTTCCAAGGTGGCAAGCAAGGATGGATTGCCAACTTGGGTCACGGTAAATTCTCATCTCCTGTACGGACTTTCAATGCAACCACTAATGGTAACAGGTATCACTCCATTTGTGCAACCGGACGATCTCAAATTCTTCTTCGAAGAGATTCACCGCTTGACGGCCGCATAGACAGACGATATACCCTGTGTTCAGGCATGAAAAAATCATATTGAGGATCTGGCCTATTTACACTATATCATTTTTACACATCTCCATTCGAAGGCGTTTTGTCAAAGACTGCTTATATCGGTATGCTTAGACAGCAATGTCCTCATTCCTACAACGACATGATTAGTGTCAATCTCTGTAACCGCAAGACGAGTAGCGAGGGAATGATGTTGCAAGAAAACAGGCGCCGAGACTGAAAGACGTACCAAAGCTCCGGCTTCTCCTTGATAAACTTCTCCATCAATTGCTTGCACTCCTCATTATCCAGCACAACCACTTCTTTACCCCGATTCAGAAGATACTCCTCGCCGCCCATGAAGTTCTTGTTCTCCCCGATGACAACCCGCTTAACCTTGTAAAGTATGCAGGCACCCGTGCACATGTCGCATGGCGACAGAGTGGTGTACATAGTCGCACCCTCGTAGGCGGAGGCGGGAAGACGGCCAGAATTCTCGAGAGCAGACATCTCGGCCTACGATGAATTGAATGTGAGCTTCGCTTGTGCCATTGTGCAATGCCGACGCGCACAGGAATGATCGACAGCGATCCAAAACAGAAGTAAATTGTCTCAATTGGGACTAACATGCAAGGTTGCGCTTCCTTTCTGAACGCGCATATTGTGTCCACGGCCAAGGATCTTCCCATCCTTGGACACCAGAGCTGCACCGATAGGGACTCCACCTTCAGCGGCACCTTTCTTTGCCTCCTCCAAGGCGGCGATGAAACCGGCATCCGTTTCCATTGTGAAGAGTTTCAAGATGTGAGCACAGAGTGTCAAGGAAAGCAAGCTCAGAACACGAGTTTGCTAAAGGAAGGATGAATTCTAGATAAGTATGTAGTCAATATCAGAGGTGGGTTTTGACGGGTCCACTATCTCGGTACAGCTTGTCGTCGATAACTTCCGAGGCTGACGAGCATTTTTCTCATCTCAAAGGTTAGCGGCATCAGACGCACGACTCACGAGCAGATATGTCTCGCTTGAGTCCGAGCTTCCGTATCGACTACTAGACAATTTACTTAGATTGAAGTGAAAGATGCCCGTATTCGTAGAGTAGGTACGATAATGGCAACGATCATGAGCGCATCAATGGATGTCAGGTCGGAAAATCCCCCTCTTTCCTTTCTGGGGTTGTCCCTTATCTCTTATCGATAAGAACCGGAGGCAATCATCGACTTCCGCCACATCTGAGTCCCAGTACGGATTACTCCGATGAAAGAAAAAGTCAAACAAGGGACCCAGAGTCAAACTATACATGGAAAGAAGATGTAGGTGGTAAGGCTCTTTACGAATTCGCCTCCATGATTAAACTGTGTAAGATTCATGTAATTGTCTAATGGTCAGAACTGTAACAAATTGACTTTTATCAAAGGCGGAGAGATTAGCAATCTAAGAATGAGCCTTGGACAGGGCTCATACGGATGACTATTGTCCTTCCTTCCGCAGCTGTATAGTTATGTACAGGGTTGGTAGAAGGCAGCGGAAAATTACTTTCAAACAGAGTCGTTACGCAGCAAAATCCCAGCAATGCCCATAGAAAGTAGTTGTCAGAAACAGTGTATTACAAAAACTCAGTCAGCCATGGAAAGGCTGCGAGGCGGATGGAAGCTCATGGAATTGCATCGAAACTGTCAGAATCCCGCTCGGGCCATGGATTCAGCCTGTGACGGGGTCAGTCTAAGCAGCGAGAATGTCGTATTGACCATTTTCGGAGCTTTGTAAGGCTTGCATGAAGGGAATTCTTTCCTTCTTGAAAAGCAAGAAAAGGCGAGCCTGTAATCACCTGTTCCTGCTCATTTTAAGGCGACTCGTACCGACTAGATATACCCTTCATCCCTTCCTCCCGACTTCCTCGGAGTTTCAAGATATCATATCTCCGTTTTTAGATACGCAGATCTTGAAAACGCCTGGCGTATCAGAGAACATCTTTCGCAGAGAAAAGTGGTTCTTTGGTGCCTGCCCTGGTAATCAGATTTCACAAGTTACGGTTCCAGCCTGAACAGCCGCCTGTCGCCGCTCCTGTCCTGATAATCTCGAAAGGGTCAAACTTCCAGATTCTTTCTCTCAACCTCAGTTCGACCTTCAATCCCTTTGAATTCGATATTTGACGATACGGTCGATTTCTCCTACACCTCTTCTCTCCGCTCTTCTCTTCTCCACGTTTTCTACCCGTCCAGATTTTGGACAGTCTTTTCTTAGACGAAAAGTTTTCTTGTTGCTAGTTCTATCTTTCCGAACAAGTCTCATTTAGACTCATATCACAATGGTCAAGGATACCAAGCTCTATGACACTCTGGGGGTGAGTATCAGTCACTTGAATCTTTATTTTCAGGATTGAATTGACGGTTTGATTGTCAGGTACCCGAGACAGCCTCTGATGCTCAGCTGAAGAGCGCCTACAAGAAGGGTGCACTCAAGTACCACCCTGGTATGTCATTGTCGATGATATTCGCGATGGATGGATCTGGGGTCTAACAGGATGTTGTATAGACAAGAATGCAAACAATCCAGAAGCGGCCGAAAAGTTCAAGGAAATGTCCCGTGCCTATGAAATTCTTTCGGATCCCCAGAAGCGTCAGATTTACGATCAATATGGTGAAGAAGGCCTTGAAGGCGGTGCTGGTGGGCCAGGAATGGGTGCCGAGGATCTCTTCGCTCAGTTCTTCGGCGGCGGCGGTGCGTTCGGCGGTATGTTCGGCGGTGGCATGCGGGAGCAAGGCCCCAAGAAGGCCCGTACCATTCACCACGTACACAAAGTCAGCCTGGAGGATATCTACCGTGGCAAGGTCTCAAAATTGGCATTGCAGAAGTCCGTCATTTGCTCCGGATGTGACGGCCGTGGTGGTAAGGAAGGCGCCGTCAAGTCCTGCACTGGCTGCAATGGTTCCGGTATGAAGACGATGATGCGCCAGATGGGGCCCATGATCCAGCGATTCCAGACCGTCTGTCCCGACTGCAGTGGAGAGGGAGAGATCATCCGCGAGAAGGACCGTTGCAAGCGCTGCAATGGTAAGAAGACCGTCGTGGAGCGCAAGGTGCTCCATGTCCATGTCGACAAGGGTGTCAAAAACGGCCATAAGATCGAGTTCCGCGGCGAAGGTGACCAGATGCCTGGCGTCCTACCGGGTGATGTCGTATTCGAGATTGAGCAGAAGCCTCATTCCCGTTTCCAGCGCAAGGACGACGATCTGTTTTACCACGCTGAGATCGACCTCCTGACTGCTCTCGCCGGCGGATCAATCAACGTCGAGCACCTTGATGACCGGTGGTTGACTGTCAACATCGCTGCTGGCGAGGTTATCACTCCTGGTATGTTTCTGTTCAATTATTATTCGTCTGGTTGAGTCGCTGTAGCTAATACTTCCTCTAGGTGCCATCAAGGTGATTAAGGGCCAGGGTATGCCCTCTTACCGCCACCACGACTTTGGTAACCTGTACATCCAATTCGATGTCAAGTTCCCCGAGAGGGATCAGCTCCAGAACCTCGATCTCCTCGAGAAGGTCCTGCCACCTCGTATGGAGCAGCCTCAGCCTCCGGCTGATTCAATGGTTGAGGATTTCGAACTGGAGGACATTGACCCCAGTGAGGGCTCTCAAAGACGCGCTCACGGCGCCGCCAGTGGCATGGACGAGGATGACGACGATGTTCCTCCTGGCGCTGAGCGGGTGCAGTGTGCTTCGCAGTAAAAGGCATTGGGGAAGATGGTTGTGGCTAATATAGTTGATGTGTGCTGGTGCACTTACGCGAGTCGCTTATGATACCATGTGGGGGAGCCGTCCCTGGTACAATTCGGTTTCCTGTGTTTCTGACTTAATGATTTGCTTTGCGATGGCGTTCGCTCTGAAGACCTGGGAGATGACAATGGAGAAATCTCTTTTTTCGTTCGATTTTTCATCATACTTCAGATTCCCTTGCATAGGATTTTCTTTCTGTTTTGTGGGATGAAGCATTGACTTTGATGAGATGATGAGGATGAATGATGTTGTTTCATCGAAGATTCGGTTGCTTCGGCTCGCTTGAGTGCGGCGGGATGGTTCGTTTCTTTCACATCTATAGACTTGAATGCGGATTGGGTATTGAACTTCAAGAGTATCTGCTCAACGAACTCCGTAGTCTTGGCCTCTTGCCATTTCCTTTTTGCAAAATACTCACCCATTTGATGACCCCGCGTAAACTCATTGCTCGACTTTTGCTCATTGCATACTAAGACTGAGCTGTCCACATGGAGAACTGACGATTAAACAAACATTGACCCTTAAAACTCCACTCGTAGGGCCGATTTCAGTCACCATTACGCCCATCATCGGTTTGGACATTCGAGATAAAGGTAGTCGGGACAACCAGGGTTACTCTACAACTTGGACAGCGGCATATACTTCGCAGCGTCACATGCACGTGACGCCTATGGAAGTTAGTATATGATTACCAAGGTTGATTCGGAAAAGGAAGGCCCATAGTATGATTTTGGGGTCGGAATCCAGGTTAGGGAAGACGGGGCGGTTCTCGAGCATGTAGGCAGCTCATAGGTACAATTGCGCAAGATTGATTAATGGGCTGGAAGTATGGGGATTATCGGGATGGGTGGCTGTGGTTGAACCATCTTGCTTCGTAGCGAACTTTGACTGGCATTTGAGAGGCGATTTGGTTATACCACACCAATTGAGCTGAGTGCCTCAAGTAGGAAACGAGTTTTTGAGACTTATGGTTTCTTTAATGGAGCAGACAAGTCTAGATCGAAGACTTCAGCTTGAATGAGGTAGATAGGAACGATAACTGCTCTCGACTGATAGCTAGATTGTTGCAACCAGCTCATTCAGCGGCCGTTGGAGCAGAGTCGTATGACTGCCTCTGGGCCGAGGGTGGCTCGCCGACAAGCAAGAGCGCACTAGGGGTCAGTATCCGGACTCGACTAGTGATCAAATTCATGGTAGCGCCGTGAGTGTGGTCGCTTGACCAAGCACA